CATAAACAATATGGTCGCACACGGTTTTGCTGTCGTATGAGGGTATCTAATTTATCGGGGATACTGGATATATCGGTAGTGTCATGTTATGTGAGTGTTTCACCGGATATGTCGGTAATGTCAGTTTCGGGTATGTTCACCAAAGGTTCCTCAGTTTTATTTGAAGCTTGGAGCTGTCGAATTTTCATCTTGAGCGCTCGTGATCTCTAAACCCTTTGGNNCCCTTTGGTGCTAACTGTGGAATGGGCACAGTATCATCTCTGCCGTTTCGAAATCAAACGTGTGCAGAAGTTCAACTTCTCCAAGAGGATCGTATTTGGAAGCCCGGACATTCTTTTTCAAAAGGACATTACCAGGAATCATGATCCAAGTAGGCAACGATGTACCGGAAGTTGGATGTCTGTTATGGCGGAGGCAACACTCATGTGGTGTTTCATTTTTCGCCGTGCAAAGCAACGAACGAATCGATTGGAATGCGTCCAATAACATTTGTTCCCCGTTCTCGACCGGGAGTTTCTTGGATTTTAGGTCGAGCAAAATGATTTTCCACAAAGTCCCGTTTAGTCGTTCTATCTGGCCGTTTCCACGGGGGTTGTACGGAGTCGTTCTGCTCATGATATCATCTCAAGGAGAAAGTGTTGTAATTCCTCCGACATGAAGGAAGTGCCTCTGTCTGAATGTATCTAAGCAGGCATTCCGAACAAGGAGAACAGTTGGCACAAACAACTGATAACGGTGCGACTGATTAGATCCGCGAAAGGGAACCTCGCGTATTTGTCAATAATCGTTAAAGGTACCGATTCCGGGTGGAACAGGGTAACGAACCCTTGGAGTCGATTGAAAGTTTTTCGTACGGTTGTGTATCTCTAGTTACATGACCTCCGAAGGTGCGCTGGAACCAAGTTTTTAGCTCGGAACAGATCCGGCGATTGGTTGTTACATTCCGTACTTCTTCGATCGAGAATAGAATATTGCGAGCTCTTAGGAAATGCATCACACGAGAGACTCCTGGGTGGCACAAAGAATCATGAAGTTATCTGAGGCTCGGTCCGGTGTGGAGAGGTCCACAGCAAGATTGACTAAGTGCGTCGGTGGCCGTAGTTTACTCTCCAGGTCTGTACACAACATCGAAGCTATAGGGGGTACAGTTCCATTGTCTGTCGTAGAATTTTGACCTTTCTTGACTCTTCCGCGGTGGGGGTTTCCGAAAATGAAGGAGACAGACTGCTGGTCGGTACTGAGTTTGGAATGACTGCTGAGTAGCAGGGTACTCCATTTCCAGACGGCTTCAACTACGGCGTACGCTTCTTTCCCAAATGTTGAATGATGTCTCTCCCCTTGAGTTAGTGTCCTACAAAAGAACGCGAGAGGGAGTCCCTCCTGATTCAACGTAGAAGCGATTGCCACGTCCGAAGCATCAGTTTCAATGACAGACGGGATATTGAAGCGGATGGTCGCCAGACTCGCCGTTGCTAGTTCGTGCTTCGGACTTTGGATGCTTTGTTTTGCATGCGGAGTTATCGGAAAGATTTGGTTATGTACCAGTGAATGGATTTTGTCGGAAAAGTTCGAAATCCATGGCGCGTAGTAAGGGAAGAAACCCACGATCGTTTTTTGTGATTTCAAATTTGTGGGTGGGAGCATTTCTTTAAACTACTTCAACCGATCAAGATTCGGTTTGATGCTGCCTTTCGCCATCTGAAAACCAAGCAGCTTGATTTATTTCACGCCTATGATGCTTTTGCCTTCGTTAAAAGTCAAACCATATTTTTGACAGCGTTCAGGAAACCCTTGAGGTTACGATCATGCTCAATTGCGTTTCTCTCACAAACAGTAATGTTATCCACGTAGAGAAACGTGTCTCTCAGATTTTCAAGAGAGATTATCTCATCGATAGCCCTCTGAAAACATGAAACGCCGTTGGTAACTCCGAAGGAAGTACGACGAAACTGATATAAAGGTCCACATGCCTCAAAAGCAGTAAACATTTTTTCTTTTTTCCTGAAGAGGGATTTGATAGTTTGCATTTTTGAGGTCTAGACTGCTGAAAATGCCTTATTTAGCTATGTTCTCTATCATATTGTCGATTGTGAGAAGTGTATATTCGTCCAGGTTGGTGAACTTGGTTATTGTTTGTTCACCACTATTCTCCGTTTATGGTTCTCATTACTGACCACCAGCACTTGAGCTCACCACGATGAGCTATTACCATCAGTAGTCGATTTATTTCCTCGCGCTTAAATGTCTGATCTTTCCTGCTGAATCGTCGGGATTTTGTGGTGACAGACTTACAATGTATAGACAGGTTATGAAAAAGTGGCGGAGACACTATGGAATTAGACTTGAGTGAGCAGACCGTAAACGGAATCTTCTCTCCGCTAAATAATATATGAGCGCTGTTGTGAAGGCCGAGGAAGTCTTGTCCGAGGAGAATATCCGAACGTAGGTCACTCAGTGTAGATAGTTTGAAACGTTCGTAGACATGGTTTTTGTATTTGATGGAGATAAAGCGGTGCCCCCTTGTACTGCTGTATGGGGCCATCGTGATGGTTTCTCTGGATGGGAGTATCTTCCACTTATTGGTATGTACCAAGCCCTCGGAAACAGCTTGCTGAGCTCCAGGTGTCGATCAGAGCTCGACAAAGTACTCCATGGACCTCGAGATCCACGACAAATTTTGAAAGGCAGGTAGGAGGGTTAGCCACGATATTTACTGATATGGATGGGCCATCGGCAGATATAGCGTGAATTTGTTGACTTTTTGAGAGACAAACTCTTTAGAAGTGACCCTTTTTACCACAACCTTTAGAAAGACTATCTCTTTCGGGGCACTTCGAGCGAGGGTGCTTGTCGAGGCCCCCCCAAAATACTTAGAGGGGACTGCGGTGGCGACACTATCGTTAGAGCACTCTATCAAAGACTTGTAGAGGGAGGGATGAGTGGATGAGGCTGCGCGTATAGCAGGTGTGAGGGATGCAATGGGAAAGTTCTGGTAGAAAATGAATTGTTGCTCTGCCATTTCTAGTTCTCTCGTTTGATCGAAGGCCTTTTGAAAATTTAGTGAACTATTTTCCAGTAGGCGTTGTGTGATATGGTTAGATTGAATTCCTCGGAGAGCATCGTCTCGGTTTTCTTCGGGGATAGTGAACCTGAAAGTGCGATCTCTTGCTAGGAACTTTAACTTCTGAACGAACTGATCGAGGGTTTATCCACTGTCCTGTTTGGCTGTGGCGAGGATATGACAGACGAAGACCTCATTTTTTGGGTGCACATAGAGGTT